AGAGTGGACAGCCCTACTTAAGCCCTTTTTTTCTTTTTGCGGGCTGTATACTTTCTGCTTCCCATGTTATACCTACCTCATTGTCGGTGTACACCTGCTGAAGAAACCTAACCAACTTTTCATCTAATTTATACTACTTCAGCTGGCCCCATTGTTTTTCCTGGCTCACGTTGTGGGACGTTCCCTTGATGTCCAAAAAAGCTAGCCACAAAGGAGTTTGGTTATTTGTTGCTATTTCTATACAATCTCTGGCGACGAATAAGTTATCTTCCAGTCTTCTATCTCTTCGGAATTCGTTTTGGAGCTCACCCAGTATTTGCATATCTTCTGCCGATTCCTCCATTATTTATATCCGCTTTACTGTCTTCATAGCTAATCTGTATATAACCGAAGTTACAGTTACTGGACGATATGCCTTAATGTTGTCTTTGTTTCCTTTGTATTTATATATTAGTCTCATTTTACTTAGTTTCCAATCATTAATAACCTCTCCTCCCATAATTAGTTGATTAATAACATTCCGTAACTTCAATTTGGTTGTTTTTTCTAGTTTCCTAATGAGTACCATCGGTATGTCGTCTAGGCCTGCCGCTGTACCTTCTGGAATTTCTGCCTTATCCCATTATGTTGTGGTTGTCTCCATTGCTGCACAATTCTGCCCCTTCTCGACACTGCTGATGTGAGTAATTTCCACTGTCCCCCTCTGCTCAAGCTGGGATAAAGCCTCCACGATTGTCCGCCTAATATATTCCAGTGACTCTTCCCACTTTTCTCTTCTTTCTTCCTGTGCAGTCCGTATGTGTTGGAAACTGTTCAATCCCAACTTACGTAGACAGCCGTATTAAAACTTAACAACTCTCGCAGTCGATGGGATTCTCAACTCCAGCATGAAGGTTGATCTACCCCCGCTCTTTCTACAGTCGCCAGGGAAGCCTCCGATTCCCTGGGAAGAATGGTACGCAATTTTTGAAATATTCGTGATTGCTTCCGGTGGATAAATGATGGATGCGGCGGAAGACTGCCATTGTACTCATCTCGCTCGGAGTGTAAGGTCAGCGGACTTACCGCGAGCTGTTAGAACAACCTCCCACCATGGCAACTACTCCTGATACATCTGCAAGTACCTCTGCTGCCGCCGGGTCATCGGGCGCTTCTGCGCGACACGTTTCAACAGCCTATGATGCAGTGGTAGCAAAGTTGCGAAAATTCTTCACGCCGGTCATCAACAAAACGGTCGAGAGATTTGTGTTTCGTTCCCGCGTTCAAATGTATGGTGAGACAGTGCAAGAATACGTCACTGCCCTTCGAGGCCTTGCAACCAACTGCAAGCTCGGCACGATGACCGAAGACATGATTTGCGATCAACTAGTCGAGAAAACGATTCATCTCAAAGTTTGAAACCGGTTACTCCTGGAACCTGAGCTTTCCCTCGAATCAGCTCTTACCGTAGCTTCGCAGGTATAACACGTGATGAGGGAGGCCAAGCCTTTCACGCAAGAGAAGGGGTCAAACTCTCAAGTGGCCAGAGGTACAGGCAACTTACAATCCGCTACGGGAGCAATACCCAAGCAAAGGTCATCCGGAAGTTGCTACAGGTCCGGTTCATCCCAGCACTTAGTGGACCACCCTAACTGCCCTGCAAAGACTCAAATCTGCAGGTAATGTAAAAAGACGGGGCACTTCGCCGCTGTTTGCAAGCAGATAGTTTCTCAGGCAAAATACCAAGTAAGGAGCATTGGACAAACACAGGTGTTCAATATAAGAGTCCCCGGACAGTCAATTCATTGCTAGATACTTTTGTCTCACGTCCTCATGTGACGTCTCGTCGATACGGGTTCCTCCGGTTCCGAAAACACTTTCATCAATACAAGTTGCAACCGCCGACTACAGCACTTAATGACTACTCGGGAAAGGGCATTCCCCTTCTGGGAAAATTTGATTCACCGGTACTGTTCGCACAAAGGCAAGGCAACTGCACATTTCATCTGGTGCGAACAGGCACGGTCATAATGGGGCTAAATGCCTTACACACCTTAAACATACAATTGAACTTTGCTTCTCCGACCCGTGGACAACTGGCAGCTGTTTGAGCAAACGATCTTCCAGAGATCGCGAAAAACTTCCACACCCTCTTTTCCGAAGGTCTAAGCCACGCCAAAGGATACGTCCACAAAGTGAAGACGAAAACTTCGGTCAGTCCCGTACAACAAAAGCTACGAAGACTGCCTTTCGCGGTGAGTGAGAAGGTTTCAGAAGAACTAACAAACCTGGAAGACTCCCGTGTAATCGAACCCATCGACGCTTCGGAGTGGGTCTCCGTCATAGTGGTTGCTCGGAAGGAGGATGGAGATATCCGCCTTGGTGTTGACTTGTGCAAGCCTTAAGCGTGTTTCACATGCAGCGATTTTGGCTCTAAAGCGGCGCGATTTCTGCCGTCGCGGCGCTCGTGCCGCAGAATTGCTGGTGCTGGCCAGAGCGCCGCGACGGCAGAAATCGCGCCGCTCTTGGGCCAAAACCGCTGCATGTGAACTAGGCTTAACACCTCGGTTGTCCTGGATTCTCATCCTCTTCCGTGTCCCGTCGAGCTCCCTCAAGAGCTTTCAGATGCTCAGGTCTTCACCAAGCTCGTCAGCGTACCGCCAAATGGAACTGGCAGAGAAAAGTAGGGACCTTACAGCATTCGTGACACACGAAGAACTCTATAGGTTCACCAGGGTTTGCTTCGCGTTCGCTTCCGCCGCCCCAGCGTTTCAAAAGATGCTTGACAGTATCCTCCGAGGTACTCGAGGTACCATCGCCTACCTCGATGAAGTGATAATTTTGGGGCGCACAACTAGAGAACATGACGGCCGTCTGACATAATATCTTAGCCGCCTACAAGACACAGATTTGAAGTTAAACAGAGAGAAATGCATTTTTCAGCGCAATAACTAAAATTTCTTGGACATGAACTAACACTTCAGGAGATCCGGCCATGTCAAGATAACATAGAAGCAATCATGCAAGCTTCTACTCTTACTGACGCTACGTCATTAAGGTCGTTGCTCGGCCTGTTAACCTACTACTTCAAATTTGTTCCCAACTTCGCAACGATCGTGGAACCACTACACGAGCTCTTGCGGAACGATGTCCCCTTCCAGTGGCGAAGTAAACAAGACGAAGCCTTCGCTACTGTCAAAGATCTAATCCGGAACTGCGTGCCGCTCACAGTTTTCGATGTGGCGTTGACTACCATCATCACAACAGACGCATCAAGTTACGGATTATGTGCCGTTTTGCAACACGTACACCCAGAAGGGATTCATACCGTCGCATTCGCATCTCGAACACTTTCTAGCGCCGAACGTAACTACTCTGCAGGAAAGAAGGAGGCGTTGGCGTGCCTCTGAGCGTGCAAGAAATGACACTTTTTTTTCTTTTCGGTCACCACTTCACACTCAGACAGACCACCAGGTTCTCGTCGCGCTCCTTTCTACACAAAGAAGTGGTCGAAAACCAATGAGAATAGCCAGGTGGGCTATGCGAGTTCTTAAATACGACTATGAGATACATTACCGAAAAGGGAGTGAGAATGTAATAGCGAATATACTCTCTCGTTTGCCTGTGCCGAACTCATCGGTCCAGATCGAAATACACGACAACAATGAAGAGTTTACTTGCCTCGAACGTGGTCTCTGCCCAATTGACCTAGCAGCTAGGGCCAAGGATGATACAATGTATCAATGATAATACAATGTAAAAAGTATCGGGTGATACAATGTATCAACACATAATGGGGTCTCGAACAACAATGGGACTCAGCATTATCTCCATTCTACAAGGTACGAGAGGAACACTCATTCGTGGACAGTCTAGTGCTACGCGGAGAAGCATTGATTCCTCCAGATTCACTACGACGTCGACTCATTGACCTCGCGCGCGAATCACATCCGGGAATTGTGCGAACCAAACAACGCCTGCGTCAGCCTTTCTGGTAGCCTAAGATGGACATTGAAGTCGACGTCAAAGACTGGCACACGTACCAGACAGATGGCAAGACAGCGATGACATCTGCACCACCACTACAACCGGTTCCATTTCCATAAGGCGCATGGAAACAACTCGTAATAGATATTGTCGGACCGTTTTACAAATTTCCTTTTCAATTCAGATTTGCAATCACAATGGTTGACTATTTCAGTAAGTGAACAGAGGTAGCTTTCTACAGCCAAGCGACGACTGAAGCTATATGTGACTTCCTTATTACAATCTTCAGCCGGGGAGATATCCAGAGGTGATTGTATCCGACCATGGTCCACAGTTCCAATCACGCATCTTCCGGGAGTTTCTGAATTCCAGAGAGATTTCCCACCGTCGGCCTGCGATCTACCATCCACAGGCCAAAGGTCAGGTTAAAAGATTTAACCGGGTTCTTAAGGATATTGTCGACTGCGCCAATTGTTGAATTTTAATACGGCTGCCTATACGTAAGGCAGGACTCTAGCACGACTAAACAGCCAGTCCTTCCACCTCGTGCTCCTCGTCCCCTTCTTCTTTACACCAGCGGTCAGGGTCCGCTCGTGCACACAACAGAAATCCTCTGTCTCTCTCCCTGCGCTCTAACATGCTCCCAAAACTTTTTTGCCGCATTCCTTTTTTTTATTAATATTGTTTCCATCATCCCTTGCACTCTCAATTTTGACCTTTATTAAAGCTGATGTCTCCTTTTCCGCTCTTGGAAGTTCTCCTATTTCGATGCTATTTCATCTGGCAAGGCTTCCCTTTTCTTTTTCCCCTCCAATGTCTTTTGGCGCCGCAATATTGCGACGCCAAGAGACATTGGTGGACAAAGCGGCCATATTTATGGCTGCTTTGACTGAGTGAGTGAAAAGACGTTTATTGACACTGGTGGATAGAGGAGTCAACTTATTGACAAGTTTAAGGATGGTTGGTTAGGCGGGACATTGGCGATTTACATAACTCCGGTACAGCTGTGGTCCCGCCGTGGGGGAACGACCCCCTTATATGTGCATATCCAGCCCGGTCTCGCTCAGGTAACTGAGCAGGCCGGACAGGACCGCGACGCGCTTGTCCCTTTCTCCCTCAGGTCGACACCAGGCTTCGAAGGAGGTGGGGCGGAGTTGTTGGTCTAACGCGTCCAGGGCTTTCGTTCTCTCCTCGTGGAAGTTTGGGCACTCCCATACGAGGTGATGCTCGTCGCACTCTACGTCGCGATTTGTGCAGTAGATGCAGCCCTTTGAGCAGGCTTCCTCTTCTCGCCGCAGCTTTCTTGATAACAAGCTGTAGTCGTGGTCTATTGCAATCGAAGCGCCGTCAACTCTCTTCTTCCTCTCGCGGGCCGCCCGCTCCCATCGCTGGGTGCGGGCCGGCGTGATGGCGGCGTGGGCCCTGAGTCTTCGCAGCTTGACCGTCTGATGCCGTCGAAAGAAACCCAAAGGAATGCTCGCTTCAGGGAGCTCGCCTTTGGCATTGAGCTTCATCTTTACTTCTTTTTAGAGCGCAGCTCTTAGGGGCCCGTTTCCAGCCTGAGCGGCGTCGCCGTTGGCGTCGGCGTCGCCGTCGCCGTCGGCGTCGGCGTCGCCGTCGCCGTCGGCGTCGGCGTCGGCGTAACCGCGCCCCTCCCTCTCCTCCTCCCTTTCCTTCTCCCCCTCCTCCTCCCCTCCTCCTCCTCCCCCTTCTCCCCTCCCCTCCTCCTCCCCCTCTTCCTCCTCCCCCTCCTCCCCCTCCTTCTCCTCCTCCTCCCCTCATTGTCCGGCTTGAGCGGCAAGGAGGAAAGCAGTGCGAAGGTGGAGGAGGGGGGAGGAGAGACGAGGAGCCGGAGGCGAGGGGGGAGGAGGAGCTTGAAGGACGAGGAGGTGGTAAAGGAGAGGGAGTGGGAGCGGGAGGCGAGGAGGACTAGCAGGCATGATCACGAGGGAGGAGGAGGAATATACCCTCCACTCCTCCTCCTCAAGAGCTGCGCTCCAATTCGGCGTTACAGGAAGTTGTAAACGGCTTTCACTTTTTTCATCGCCAGTTTAATGTTGAGGACGGTGCCCTCGGGGTCGTATAAGTTGAAAACGGACGATGGCGGTAGCACAAAGGGGGCCGCAACCGGGTCCTGGCGTCGAAGGTCGATACGATTAAGCTCTTCGATCGCCGCCCGGTGTGCCTTCTCGTTACCGTCTATGCCCGCGTGACCAGGAATCCACTCTACGCTTATGGAGAGTGGGTTCGGGTCGCGTCGCTCCAGTTCATGCGCTAGCCGGAAGATCTCTCCGACTGCGGCGTGTGCCTTGACCTGCGTTCTAAGTGCCCTCACGGTTGCCTGGGAGTCCGTGAAAACGCGCAATTTGTGAAATACATCGCTTGATGACACTGCCGTGTCCTTGATGGCTTCGAGTACGGCATTTACTTCGGCTTCCTGCGCGGATCCACAGTGTTGCAGTTCCTTGCATTTCGTCACGTGTTCATAATGCCATGCCGCTGTGGTCGCCACTCCATCCTTGAACGCGGCATCGACGTATACTCGAAGTTCGTCGTCGCCGTCGCCTCCCTTCTCTTCGTGCCGCCGGGCAAACTTGCGTCTTCTACCGGCGTTAGTCGTTGAATTCATCCTTCTCGGGATTGGACAGGCCGGGGTGACCATCGTCTTCTGCCATGGTGGGATGGGGTCCGGTATTAGTGACTGAGCGGTCTGCGCGCACAGAGAGCTCCACGGAGGCATGAGTTCTAATAGGGCCCTGCCCTGTCGGGTGTGCGCCAGTTTGGCACCGTAGGTTCGCTCCTGATTCTGCTCGATCTCTTCAAGGGAGAGCATCGGGACTGCTTCGTGCAGTAGGTCCAGGCGTGTGCACTTCGGCAAGCCCGAGATGCAGCGTCGTGCGTCGTTAATCAATGTTTCCAGTTTGGCCCGCTGAGCGGTGTTGAATTTGTAGAAACGGAGGCCGTACGAGATCTTGGATATAAGGGCGGCTTGGACCACGGTCTTCGCTAATCTTTCTCCCAGGCCCCCGGCCCGTGTCGCTAAGCGTCGGACGATCGAAAGTCCTTTCTTCCACGTGCTTCGCATACGTTCGATCCAGGTGCTTGGGTTGCCGCCCGAGTGGACGTTCACCCCTAGAATGGAGTGCTCGGCCACTTTGTCGATCTTCTGACCGTCAAAGCGCAGGTCCGCGTCGATCTTTTCCCAGCCTTTGCCAAAGGCTAAGTATCTTGTCTTTTCAGGTGACGGGTTGAGACCGACCTCCTTCAGGAAGTCGCTCACCACGTCAAGGGCCCTTTGGATCGTTGTCTCGGGAGGGGGCGCGTTGTCACTTCCCATAGTCCACGCCGTGATGTCGTCCGCGTAGACTGTGAATGCCAAGTCCGGAATGACGGCGAGCCGCCATAGGAGCGGCGCCATCGCCAGGTTGAAGAGCACCGGTGAAAGCACTGCTCCTTGTGGCACGCCTATTTCATTCGTCTTCTGTTCGCTGCTACAGTGCTTGCCGGTCTTGACCAGGTACTTTCGTCCGCTCAGGAAGGCCTTGATGAAGTTCAGGGGTCTGCCCCGCACACCCAGTTTTCGGGCCGTGTCAATAACCGTCGCGTGAGGTAGGGTGTCGAAAGCTTTTTTAATGTCCACTGCTACCAGGAGTTGTGGGTGGCAATGCGTTGGCCGATTCACCAAGTACTCCCGAATGAGGACTAAGCTGTCCTGCGTGCCAAGGTTCTTGCGGAACCCCGTCTGGGCGGGATGCAACACTTCTCTTTTATGCTCAATTATCCAATCGATGCGCGCGAGCACCATACGCTCCATCAGTTTGCTGAGAACAGATGTAAGCGAAATTGGGCGCACGTTGCTCGCGCAGTCCGGCTTCTTCCCTGGTTTGGGTATGGGGCACACCCAGGACAGTTTCCACTTTTCGGGTATGTTTCCCTCGTGCCACGCGTTGTTGATCGATTTCAGCAAGTTATGTTTGACCACCTCCGGGAGGTTTTTGAGCATGGAGTTGGTAATCCCGTCAGGGCCCGCCGCACTCCGCTCGTTGCCTTTGTCGATGGCTGCCTCCATTTCCCACATAGTAAAATCTGCTTCGTACTCTTCGGCTTTCGATTCTTCGGGTTCATAAATTTTGGGGTCCGGGCTCGTGGCTGGCTGCGGGAAGAAGACATCTCCGATCTCGTCCAGTATCTGTGTGATTTCCTTGCCTTGCGCGAGGGCCATGTTTGGTGCTGTGTTGCCGCCTTTGCTCTTGCCCAGCATCGCGTTACAGACAGCCCACATGCGTCTGAGTGACGTCCGTTCGTTGAACTCTTCGCAAGACTTGATCCAGTCGTCCCTGCACAGCCTGCTGGCGTGTCGCTGCGCCTCCTTCGCGTACCTGTTGGCCTTGCGAATATCCCGTCGTTTGCGGGTCCGACGGTAGCGTCTCAGGTGGTTGGTTCTTTTGCGCCATAGGGATAGTAATCTGGTATCCGGAATGGGCGCTTCTTTTTCGATTAGGGTTTCGACTGTTGCGGCCTTGGCCGCGTCCCTAATCAGTTTTGTCAGGTCATCTAATTTGGTGCCCGTGGATCCTTCTAGAATGGTGCGAAAGTCGTCCCACACTGTAGTCTTTGCCGTCCTATGCTTCTTGTGTCGCTTTGCCCTGCCGACGATACACGTCTCAATAGGGTGGTGGTCGCTGCCCCACGCGTCCTCGAAAACTCTCCATTCGATGTTCCTTGCAGTATGAGGGTCGGCCCAAGTTAGATCAGGCGTGGTGTCTTGTTGGTTGATACTGGGCGCGGTCCGCGTCTTGGTGCCCGGTTCATTGATCAGGACGAGTCCCATATCGGTGGCCCTGCGCAGCAGCTCGGCACCTCGTGCTGACGATTTCGCGTAGCCCCATTCTTCGTGTTCGGCATTAAAGTCTCCTCCGACGAGAATCGCGTGCTTTCTCTTCTTACCGTACTCTCGTACCAGCTTCTCCACCCAGCCGTGGTCGATCTCCGCTCTCGTTTTCCTTGCCGTCGAAGTCCTAGGCCGGTAGTACACTGACACCACCAGGATCGGGCCGTCGCACTCGCTCTCCACCAGGACGGCCACTACCTCTTGCGAGTCGGTGCACCATTCCCGCGTGTCCACTTGCTGTTGGGGTAGGTCTTTGCGAACCAAAATAGCGACTTGCGGTTGCACTCTGGTCTTGCCTTTAACGGTCAGCGTCACACTCGGTTGGTCGTACTTGATGTAGCCCGTCAGTTTGATATCGGCCTCGTGGGTTTCCTGAAGCATAATAGCGTCTACAGGAATCTTTCGTTCGTGTAATCGTAGCTTGAGTTCGGACTTTTTGCCGCGCAGCCCCCGGCAGTTCCATTGAAGGGCGGTAAACGTCTTCTCGTTCTTGTAACGTCTTTGGTGTTGGCTCATAATTGGTTTATTGGGCCGGGGCCGCCGTCCCTATCCCATGCTGGGTAAACATAATCTGTAGTTGTTGCTGCATCTGCTGCATCATGACTTGTTGCTGTTGCTGAAGTTGCTGCTGGAGCTGTTGTTGCCACTGTTGTATTCTGTTCTCTACGAGTTGTAGGAGATCACCGCCGCTTGGGGTCGTGCCGGGAAGGCTGCCTGAGTCTCGCGGGTTAGGTTGCGTCGGCGGCACGTTCCGCGGCGGGTATTGTTGTCGATCTTGTTGTGGTGCGGCCACAGCGGCTTCACTGTTTGTTGATTTTGCCTTGGTGGCTGCGACTTCGGCTTCTTTCTTCTTTTGTTCCAGGACTTGTTCGTAAGTTACGGGGCAGCGTTGGCTCCGGCGACGTGCTTCGTCGGTCTTCTGTTGCTCAATTCGGAGTCGCTGCTCGGCTTCTCGTTTACGTTTTCGGTCAGCTTCGGCCGTGGCCTTGGCTTGCGCTCGACGGGTCTCTTGTTCCTGACGGAGTTGATTTTCGTACTCCATCTCCAATTGTTGAATCTTCTGCAGTATTCTGCTGCTACTCTCCCTAAGTTGGGCTAGTTCCGTCGCCAGTCTGCTGCTGCAGCCGCTGGGCGTGCCTAAATGGGAGACAGAGTCCATGTTCATTGCCTTCGAATCTAGTGCTTGTCTGTAAGTCGGTTTTGGCTTTCGCTGTTCGGCCTGTTGCTGCTCCTGCGGTGTGAGGGGGGGGAAATCGTCCGGGTTATATGGAGCCCGGTTGGAGGCCCCGCCTTTTTTTGCAGCGGTGGACACCGGGCCGCCGCCATGGTTGCGTCTACCGTCCGCCGCTCTCTTCTGGAGTTTGTCGTCCGCTCGGTTCCTGGCTTGACACGCTTCGATTTCGAAAACCGTGTGGCCAGTTTTCTTGCAGTTGGGGCAGTACTTGCCCTGGCAGGGTTGGTTGTTGGGGTGGACTTCACCGCAAGTTTTGCAGCGTTGTTTGCGCGTGCAGACCGTGGCCTTGTGTCCCAGTCCATGGCACTGTAGGCAGACGACTGCTGTAGGCTTGTAGGGAAACACGTTATGGTACCTTCCGAAAAGTCGGAGGCTCCTTGGGATACCTTGACCTTCAAATGTGATTAAGTACGTTCCGTTCTTGCCTATGGGTCTGGCGTGGATGATGTCGTGGTAGTCCGCTATGGCGTTCTCGACAATGCCGCGTGCCGCGTCGCCGGGTGAAACGCCGTGTATCACTCCTCTCGGTTGGCTGCCGGTTGTGGATCTGTAGACCGTCACTTCGATCTTCTTGTCGGGATCCTCAGTGGGTAGCTCCTTGAGCGCCATGAGGTCCTGAGCGTGTTGTTCCGTTCGCACGGTAACTGCGATGGAGTTGTTCCTGTTGCTGACAGCGTATCCGATCTGATCGTTTTCGCACGGCGAACTTAGGATTTTTCGAAAAGTGCTCCACAGGAGCCATGAGTCCGTATTGGTGATATTCACAGCCGCGGTAGGCTTGATAATGACAGTGTACCTTGGTCCGTCCTGTCATTGCTGGCGCCGGCTGGGCCGGCTTCCGCGCTGAAACTTTTGCTTGTGATAGTTAGGAATTTGCCACTCCTCGTTGCTGCTGCCGTATTCGTCATTGCAGCCGCTTCTTTCCATGTCCTCTTCTTTTGCCTCGATAATGGTGTCTTCCTTTGTCAAGTCTTCCCCTTTACGCTTCTTTGATACCGACGATTCCCTTATTCTGGGGGTTTCTTCACCGCTGGCTTTGCCTAGCGGATTCCCGGCTTCTATCTCCATTCTCGAAGTTTCCGCTGTAATGCGCGATGGGCCGCCGCTCACGGAAGCCGCGATTGATCCGTTGACTTGACTCGAGGTCATGATGTCGTCAGGTACCGGCCCCGTGGACGATGCTTCGCCTCCTCCGGTTAGGCCTAGTACTGGCGGCCGCTGGAATGGTCTGCCGCCATCACTGGTAGTCGTAATTATTGGTCTATGAATGACAGTTCTCTCACCCGATTTCGACGAATCGATTATCAGCGAGATCCTTGAAGCTTCCAATCCTTCGTAGAAACGTTTGACGCCAAAAGAAGCGCCAGAAAAACCGAAAAGATAGAGTGAAAAGAGCTCGATGAGACACGTCCGATCGCCTCTGTGTCTTCTTCTTTCTCCTGCTTTGACTTCCTTCCAACCAGATTTTTGGTTGCGTCTTCATTTTTGTTTTCCTCTTTGTTTAATTCGATGCTTCTCTATTTTTTTTAAAGATTTCTATTATATCCTTATATATATATATAGACTGCCAAATACTACAAATCAATTTATTACGTTTTATTGATTTGGATTAACATTGTTTATAATTACTAATTTCAAAAATTTACGATAATTTTTTTTTGCTCCTGTTCTGAATATTTTTAATACCCTTCATAGTAACTCTTCCTCTTCCACACGAACATCAACAAGAAGAAGAGGACATTTCACAACCATTCACCCTGAAGAAAAGCGGTCCCCGCTTGAAACGTTGGTGCTGTAAAGAAAGGCCTTTCCTGGAACTCCTCCACTTTCGTTTTACGTCCAACCGGCCCGTTGAACCTTCTTATCATATATATATATATATATATATATATATATATATATATATATATATATATATATATATATATATATATATATATATATATATATATATATATATATATATATATATATATATATATATATATATATATATATAACGGGAATGGTGGCAGGAGGCCGAAGGCGTGGGTATATAACTGAGAAAAAAAAAGCCCTTGGTGAAAACAGCAACAACGGACGATTTATTCTTCGACGTTTCGGCCGGAGTCTGGCCTTCGTCAGGAAGCCAGACTCCGGCCAGAACGTCGAAGAATAAATCGTCCGTTGTTGCTGTTTCACCAAGGTTTTTTTTTTTCTTCTCAGTTATATATAACTTACTCGTTCCTGTGCTTTTTGTTCTGGTTCAGATGCGCAAAATTTAATCTTAATTTTTTTTTTGTCACTCCTTAAGCCTTTTGTACCTTCCTCATCTATTTTCATGCTTCCTAGCCTGTCATACAGTTCGTGGGACATTAATCAGTAGTCTATTGTTGAGTTTAAGTTGTTTCGTTCCCAGGTTATTTCCCCGTCGAATTTTACTTGTGCGTTAACTAGCACTAGGTCCAGGGCATCACAGACATTTTCAAACCACTTTCCGGTTGTATTTGTGAATCTGTCAAACTGTTCTAAGTGGGCGTTCATGTCTTCTATAATTATTTCCTGATTAAGGCCAATTTCTCTGATGTCCCATGTAAAATGTTCTGTATTTTCCTCCCTTGAACAATTTCCTCTTTTCAGGTAAGCACCCCCCAGAAGGGTGTTCAGACCTGTTACAACACCTTTCAGCCTTTCATAAGCGTTCTCTGCAGGCTTCCTTCTCTCTTCCCGAGTCATGTCATTTAACTAACGTGCCTAGACCTCCGCTTTGCATTCAGCTCCCCTCCGGTTTCATCCCATCGAGGAGTAGCCTGGCATGTACGGTTGTTCATCTTCATTTCTAAAGTGAGTTTCCTCTACCCCATCCACTGTGAAATTTACAGCCTCTAGTTGTTCACCAATCTCCTCCCACTTAATCTGTTTCTACCTTCCTGCATGTTTATGAAGCCTATATTAAGCCGATACTTTATCTTATTTCTACGGGGCTTCGTGCTGCTTCGTGCTGCTTTCCCCCTGCTGCTCTTGCGGTACTCACACTCAGGAGCTTCCATGACTCTGGTACTGGTACATTAACACTGGTGTCCTCCGGGCTCCTGGGGTCCCCAAAGAAATCTACGACATGACGCTCAATCCTATCTCCTATCGTGCTACCTATGGTTTCGCTGCTGTAGATGCCCATGCAAAAGGGTCGGAGAGAGCCTCGTGCATCACCCTGTTTACTTCCAATACGCCGTACTGAAGTCGTTGGCTCATCCCCCTAACCACCAGGTTAGCTTGCACCACCTCTGCTTTAAATGAAAAGACTCTCCCCAGACCTCTGGGATAGTGCATGCAAATACCGTTGAGAATAATACAGGAAACTCCGGGCTAAAATGGGAGACGGAAGTAGAAAGCGATCCTGGCGGTGTGGAGTGGACAACTCGCCACTTTCCCCGGAAATGAATCAAATGGGTCTGACTCACTAGAGAAATTGATAGTCCATGAAATATTCCCATTTTTTGATGGAGCATAGGCAGCATAAGCTCGTGATATTGGACCTCTTGGTATTTTGATGTCAAAATGCAGTGTTGTATGGACCAGTCAGGATTTGTATAGCCGTTTTTGTACAATCTAAATAATAATTAACCTTATCTGAGCTTGTTGATTTATTTGTTTTACTCCTACCGAAACATGTCTTATCAGATGCCCTTGGCTCCAAGTGACCACAATTGACAATAGGCATCAATTTTTTATGAGACCGACTTGAAATGACTCCAAGTGATTAGAAGGGATTATTATTGATAATTACGTAATTCTTTTGTGTGCTTACTCTTATGAACGGCTTCAAGTAACTTTTGTTGGCTATTAGCATCTTCTTTGACGAGATTGACCTTAAATGGCTGCCAATAGCTATTGATGAGGTAATTGACAATTACCCATTTCGGCGTTGGTGAATGCACATGGTTTCAACTGGCTATTATTGGCT